TGTCCTCCATTTGGAGGCACAAAATATGGTAACCCTAGTGAATCTGACATGTAAATATCTTGCAATGCTGGCTACAACAGTGCTATGCGAACACTTGTTCTCACTTTCAGGTGACATTGTAAACAAGAAGCGGGCAGCATTATCTCCTGCAAATGTAAGCAAACTTGTTTGTCTGAGTGATTGGCTGAACAAAAAGTAGGACTGAGTGGACTTGTAGGTCTAAAGTTCTACGTTGTTTTATTTTCCAATGCAGTTATTTTTTTGTACATAATTCTACATTTGTAAGTTCAACTTTCATGATAAAGAGATTGCACTACAGTACTTGTATTAGGTACATTGAAAAGTACTATTTCTTTTATTTTTACAGTGCAAATATTTATAATGAATAAATATAAATTGAACACTGTATTGTAATTGAAATCAATATATTTGAAAATGTGGAAAATATCAAAAAATATTTATATAAATAGTATTCTATTATTGTTTAACAGCATGATTTTTTTTAATCACGTGATTAATTGCGATTATTTTTTTAATCACTTGACAGCCCTACTTTTGACTTCACCACATCCCCTGGCAACGAGTTCCACAGGTTGACTGTATATTGTGTGAAAAAGTACTTCCTTATGTTTGTTTTGCCTATTAATTTAGTTGGGTGACCGCTAGTTCTTGCGTTATGTGAAGGAGTAAATAACACTTCCTTATTCACTTTCTCCACACCATTCATGATTTTATAGACTTCTATCATGTCCCCCTTTAATAAAATAGGTAATGATAATGATAATGTTGATAATGAAATTTGCATTAAGGGAGTTATGGATGTGGCTTAGATGCTGGCCAGGTCACTGACATTGTTCAATCCCTTCCAGGGAAGTGGAACCTCCAAGTCAAAGTTCAACATAAACACAAACCAAAAGAATCTTCAGTGCTGCTGGGGTCAGTTTTTAGCCTCCTTCTTTTCAGGAGGACCCCACCTGCAGCGGCTCGTCTTAACACCCACCCAGCCACCCACAGGTTCATGGTAAAAAACCTAAACTAATAGTCAGTGACAGGCCTAATCTCCCTGTCATAACTATAAAGGGAAGGGTAACAGCCCTCCTGTGTACCATGCTATAATCCCTCCTGGCCAGAGACACCAA